TACACTTCTTTAAAGCCCTTTGACCTTTAATAATGTGTGGATGCACCCTGATGTGCTACGCATTCTAAAACGCGCCTAGGCATGCTTCTGATCAGGTGGTCAATGTCTTCCTGTGGTATCTCATTCCAGGCAACCACCATTTCCTCTCGAAGTGCTTCTAGAGTCTGAGGAGGACGTTTCAAATTGAGCAATCTCCTACCCATCATATCCCACACGTGCTCAATTGGGGATAAGTCGGGAGATCTTGGTGGCCATGGTAACAATGTGACATCATTATGTTGAAAGAAGTCTATTGTGACTCTTGCAACATGTGGTCGGGCATTATCTTGTTGGAAAGTTGGATCTGCCAGGGTGTCAAGATAGGGTAAAAGATGGGGTTCTAGAACTTCGTGGATATAACGCTGCGCGTTCATGTTACCTCTGATGAAGATTAAAGGTGACCTGGAACCATAAGCTATAGCACCCCAAACCATGACTCCAATAGTGTGATGGACATGTCTTTCAACAAAAAACTGTGGATTCCTCCTTTCACCACGTCGCCTTCTAACCCTGTCACGACCATCGTGCATGCCTAAACAAAATCGAGACTCGTCACTAAAGACAATACTGTTCCATTCCTGATCCCAGAGTGACCGTTGTCTGCACTACTCAAGGCGATTACGTCGGGAGGACCCAGAGTGGCCGGTATGAAAACAAGCCAAAACTTCTCATTCGTCGGTAAACACTTCGCATGCCAATAGGTCTTTCGTGTTCTGCAAAACATTCATTTGCAATGGACCTGGTAGTGGAGAAACGGTCCCTTAAGGCCAATAATCTTAGGCGGTGATCTTCACGGTCTGTTGTTCTACGGCGGCGTCCAGTGCCCCTTGGTCTTTGCGTACGGCCTTCTCGAAGCCATGCCTGACAACACCTAACCACAGTGTCTACACTTCTTTGCACTCTAACTGCAATTGCCCGAAAAGAAAGTCCAGCTTCCCGAAGTCCCACTATACGGCCCCTATCAAACTCACTAAGTTGACGAAATCGTACAGGTCTCCGTACTCTAGGCATCGTAACCGATCGTAAAGGATGTCAAGAACCAAAATCTGCCAACGTTGATTCTTTACTGCGGCTGAAATATTCATTTTTAGAGCGTTCGTGAATTAAAAAAAAGTAGTATAAAAACCGGAATGTCCAACTGATAAGGCTGAACATTTTTTCACTTGTTATTTACGGTAAGATAAATACATTCACCAACTTATATTAAAATAAAACCATTTAAACTGGGTGTTCGGATTTATATGTCCCTTGGTATATACCTTCAACAGTTATCAAGGCTCTGAGGTGTACATTGTTGGTGCGGAGAATCAAGAATTTCACGGAAGATATATGGGATAGACGTTTAAAGTATTCATACGCACCATGTATGCACTTACTGACTATCGACAATGGCTGGGCATTAGCTTCTTTAATTTCGAAATAAGGTAGTAGATGAGACGCTATAACTGATATACTACTTAGTTGTCCAGTTATGCATTCCAGTATAATCTAGGAGAGTTGAATGGTTAGCAACATTCGGATGGTGGAAAGCATATCCAAGATTCAATAATACTGCCTTGGCTCCAATGTTATATGTCAAGTACTTGCTGGAGACTAGATGTTCATCTCCGTTAGCTACCTGATCTCTTACGGAGCTTACCCATAATTTATGGTTTGTGCTTTTGAGAATAGAGAATATAGGTTTGTTTAAATTATCTCCGACTTTGCTATTACAGCATCTTACGGAAAGCTACTCCGATCGACCCCTTTAATCTTGTGCTGAACATGTGCTGGGGCTTAACTTGGTTGGTAACCTGCCAGCAGTGAGATTATGAGGTGAGAGGAAACTGGGAAACTAATTTATATCGAAGTTATCAAAAAATGCTAGATCGTATTAAATCTAGGAATAAAAGATGCAGGATTATTTCGAAAAAGTCTTCACGCTTTCATAGATGTACAAGTTACTCATGTTATGTCCATGTGGCCTTGGTACTATTGTATCTTGGATATGCGCGTCACCATCAGAATGTTGCTTTCTTCCCAACATTCATTCTGGATGAGGCTTAAAAAATATGGTTGCATAACTAAGTAATAAGTATACGATTGAGAATGCCTCACTTGTATACGATCTTATTGTGACGTATGGCATCCAAATCATCGTAATCCTGAGCTGCTTTCCAGTGACCCTGTTGAGTTACTCTGAGTGACTGGGAGTAACTCAGTAGTGCTCAGCACCAATACCGTTCCACTGCACATTGTATTCTCACGCATTGTTTCTGGAGCAGTTCGCGATCGTATAAATCTCAAACCACAAACCACTGGAAAGCTGCTTAGGATCATGCTTTAGATACCTACCGTATCATGACCTCTCCATTGAGGCTTGATAGCTTTTGAAGATGACTCTTTCAAGGTTTTCATCGATTGATACTTTTGATCTGCCTGAAAACAGAAACAGTCTCCATTCATTTTGGAGAATTCCCAGCAATGAATGTGCCTTGTACGGCGTCATGAATAAGAGTTCGTAGGTTCAAATTCTGTAAGTGTACTGCAGTGATGGTATTTGTTCGTAGCAAAGAATGCCGTTCTCCAATCTTAGGTATGAAGGTTACCCTTGGCATTGGTGATGTAAGTAGATTCCCTATTGTAGAGTCGGAAATTATGCATCGGCTTAAGTTAGGTTTGTTTAATTAAGGCTGACATCGAGACTTATGCTAATTGTACTGTAACGAAAGTTCTTTTACACACATTTTACTGTTCAAAGTCTAATTTATCACTGTAACATATAACAGCTGCAACTATGTCGACTGGACTACTATTTCCATCTTAATTCAGCGCTCGCTGTTCACTCGACTGATCCTCGACTGTGACCAACTGCTTCCGCCATCTGGTCGGGTATTTATCCCCCTATCGACGCGAGAAATGTTCTACCGTTTTACAGACAGAGTCGTGAACTTCCATGGAAGTAGTGTAGATGGCAGCAGGGGTCTCCAGACGGGTCTCGGATACTCGCGATTGCGTCGCCAGCGGTCCAGAATGCAAATATGCTCCATACATGTTTGCGTAACTATGGTTGCCTAAGCGTCGACTTTGCCGCTCAAGGTCCCAGCTATATGAGGGCGTTACAGTACGTTTTGCTTAAATCGTCGTATAATAGTATAGGAGCTAGCAACGTTTTCGAGAAAGAACTTCAGGTCAGCTGATTTTTTAATATGTTGTCCTTCTTCCTCTTTTGGGTAGAGCCTAGGCTATCTGGCTGGCGGTAGCGGTTGCGTTCATTGGTGCGCATCCTACCTGTACAGGTAATAATCCAAGGTTTTGAAAGTATTTCAAGAAGCTAAATTTTTAATTTCTTATCTTTAGATAGGTTTACCAAACACTATTTTTTTATTGCCAGACACTTTTATCATTGCCAATGATATGCCATACGCGATCTTTTTTTTTTTTTTTAAATTTCAAATCATTATAGTACGTCTGTCATTTTAATATTACATTATTTGAATATATAAAAACCTAAAATTAATTTGCCAAACATTAATTCGATTGCTAAACCTTGAAACATCTTCTTATTTTTATGTATTTAAGAAAAAGTTGAAAATATGTTCCAGTTACTCGGACGGGTATCAAATTGCAAGTAATGCTAGTTTATATCAGAATTAGGATAAAAAAAGATAAAAAACCCAGAAAACCATTTAATTTTGGCTGATTTTGGTATAAAAAGGCCAAAACAAGTCAAATTTTAACCGAAAACTATCCAAATAGAAGAGATTCCGTGATGGATGTTTGGTGGTGGTGGCACGACCCTATGTGTGTGAGTGTGTGTGTGTGTGTATGTGTGTATGCGCGTGGGGGGAGGGGTCGAGGAGGATAGAGGGTACGCTCGCGCGCAGCACGTTTCTGGAAAGTTACGCGTATTTTTTTGTCTAGACAAAAGACAATAAATTTATTTATTCATTTGGAAACAATTCAATAATAATTTTGAAAAAGAAAACATTTTCTCAGTCCTGACATTTGGTATGTTCACCTGTAACGATAAAAGGATTTAATGCGATTTCATGGTTAGGTAAATGAAAATATGTACACTTTTAAAAATCTTACCGTCACTTAAGCAGGTGGGTCGTCTACATTGGCAGTATTCTGTTGTAACGACGGTGTAACTACATTATGGACACGCACAACGCGAATCTTACCGTACCTGTCGCGTTGGTCGTCCCTGCACTGTGGGCACGCATGCCCGCTCACACAAACTGACACGCGGGCGCTCTCGCACACACACACACACGCACACCTACACACACACACACACACGTACGCACCTACACACACACACACACACGCACACACACACACAGTCCTGCCACCACCACCATCAAACATTCATCACGGGTTCTTTTATATTTTGATAGTTTTCGGTTAAAATTTGACTTGTTTTGGCCTTTTTATACCAAAATTGGAAAAAATTGAATGATTTTCTGGGCTATTTGTCTTTTTTTATCCTAATTCTGATATAAACTAGCATTACTTGCAATTTGAAACCCGTCCGAGCGACCGGAACGTATTCTCAATTTTCACTTAAATACATAAAATTAAGTAAATGTTTCACAGGGTACGACGAAAATGCCAATGCGGGGATTTTTGGGGAACTTTGATATGTTGTAAAGGGAGGTCTAATGAGTCGAAAACCGTTGAGAAAAAGTGTGAGCGATTTTTTTCCAGCTTTGGGCAGTTTTTGAGCTATCTTTCCTGGACTATTAAGAAATCCACACAGCGTCGTGATAGTAGTTAGAGAGAGACAGACAGTGACGTTGGCGCAGCCGCCAAATTTTCAAGATGGCGTCAGTCTAAAGGCCCACGTTTGTGTTTATGTTGTGTCTCACTGTTTGTTTATGAATTTTTTATAATGGCCAGTGATAAAATGCGATGTGTTTTTTGTAAGGGCAAAAATGATAAACTAATACTTTTCGTGAGTGAAAAACTAAAGAAATGCCAGGAAGTTTTGAGTGTACGTGTGAAATATAAATTAAAGTATCATGACACTAAGTTGCCGACCGAAATAAATGAGACAGATGGATATCATAGACAATGTTATGCTAGTTTTACAGCGTTAATGGCAAAATACCGTAATTTATCATCAGAATTAAATTTAGCCAGTGACTCCAGTTCACCTACAAGCTTAAACCGTGAAACCGCATGTGCAGTTGTTCGTTCAAGTTCAAATATTTTGGAAGACATTGATCAAAGTTCAAATTGTTCGAGCATATCAGCTCATTCTCAACCAAATTTGAATAGCGAGACATTATCAGAAGATGCAACTCTGAGTTTAGATAGTCAGAGAATGTTAGGAGATGTTTCAGTTCCGGATCCAGCTTCCAGCTCAACTTGTGATTCAAGTATTAATGAAAATACAGCTAACAACGAAACTTTTGACACTACTGCAGAAGATATTGGAACAGGTCGACAACTAAAAAATGTCTGTTATTTTTGTGATAAAGATCGTAAGCAGAATAAGGGTAAACAACAAAGTCTTCACCACTCAAACGATGCAAAACTTTATGATAAAATTATTATGTGGATGGAAAAACTCAGTAATGAACAGTTGTTACAGAAAATTAACAATTTCAAATCTACAAATAGAACTATTTTTTATCACCATTCCTGTGAATTAGCTTGTGAAGAACACGAAGAAGCTGATTCTCGCATTATTTATCATATATGTCAAATTGATTTCGATGCCGACGTTGTTATACGCTGTTCTGACTCCGATATTTTAATTATATTACTGGGTAATATGGATCACCTCAATGCATTTTTGAAGATTTGGATTAACATCGGTGTAGGCAATCATCAGCGATACGTAAACGTTAATGAATTATACCGAATCCTTGGTGATTCTCTATCAAAAGCTTTACCATGCTTCCACGCAATCACGGGGTGCGATTACACGCCAGCATTCTTTAGAAAAGGTAAAGTTAGACCTTTTAAAATTTTGGAACAATCTAAAGAATATCAATCAGCGTTTGGAAACATAACTACGGATAACGAAGATTTACTTGACAGTACTTTTGTAATCCTTGAGAAGTTTGTTTGTCAAATGTATGGAGTTAAAAATTCTTCAGATGTGAATAGTGTTCGATTTCATTTATTCTCAAATACTTTTCAATCAAAAAAATCCGATGAAAATTTTGAGAAGAAATTTCGAAACTTTGACTCATCGAGTTTGCCACCCTGTAAAGCGGAATTGCAACAGCATTTATTGAGAGTGCGCTACGTGACTAAACTTTGGAGGAATGCTCACTTGAAACATCCAACTTCTTTATCTCCAGTTGCTTCCGGTTGGACCATCAAAGATAATAAATATGATTTTGTCTGGTTCCTGGGAGAGCAGTTACCATCATCAATTGCTGATATTATTATTCAAAGTAAGTATGCAATAGAATATCTATCAATAATCAGTAAAATATCATATAAGAAACGACAAAAACTGTACTATATTAACTTTTTTTTGTTACAGATGAGAGAGTTTTAAGAAATGATGACAATGACCAAGACGATGATTTCAATACTTCTAGCAATGAGAGCGACGATGATGACGATTGTGAAGATGCATCCTTCGTTTGTAATACGATTATGGAATGAAATATTTAAAAACTAAAGAAGAATTCTTAATATTTTTAATTTGTTATTTATGTGTGTTACCTGAGCATTATAAATAAAAAATTTAATTTTTAAACCTTCAATAATGCATTTTAATTTTTTCGTTTTTGACTAGAATATATTCTAATATAATTTTCTTCATATTTCATTTTTTCCATCAAGATTTGTAGTTTTGTAATGATTTTCCGTCTTCTTCTCGGCAGTACATCTTACAACTATCTCTCTCTAACTACTAGCACGACGCTGTGTGGATTTCTCAGGTTTGTCGTTCTTTTTCAAGGTTTAGCAATCGAATTAATGTTTGGCAAATTAATTTTAGGTTTTTATATATTCAAATAATGTAATATTAAAATGACAGACGTACTATAATGATTTGAAATTTAAAAAAAAAAAAAAAGATCGCGTATGGCATATCATTGGCAATGATAAAAGTGTCTGGCAATAAAAAAATAGTGTTTGGTAAACCTATCTAAAGATAAGAAATTCAAAATTTAGCTTCTTGAAATACTTTCAAAACCTTGGATTATTACCTGTACAGGTAGGATGCGCACTAATGAACGCAACCGCTACCGCCAGCCAGATAGCCTAGGCTCTACCCAAAAGAGGAAGAAGGATAACATATCAAAAAATCAGCTGACCTGAAATTGTTGTTTTCCCGACGTTACTAGCTCCCGGACTATAAGACCTAGGGTGTTCGGTACCAAATCGTTCGTTTTCATTGTTGCGTTCCATCAATTACTTGAAATGAGTATTTTTGCGCGTGTACCAACTTGTTAGATGGCCATAAGACGACGGACACCACAAACTCTACATATTACGTGACGACTTACTTGCAAGAAAAACGTACGAGCAGCATGAGTGTCCCTGCCAGGCTTGACATGAAGAATAAGTAGTAGTAGTGGTAGTAGTAGTAGTAGTGGAGAGACGAATCCTGGAAACTCGGCCACCTTTGACCCTTTAAGTCGATCCCCTAGTATCGACTCTGTACTACTCCAGAAGCTGGTAACCAGATTTGTCTACTCTCTTTTTTATCATTCTCTTTTCTATTCAGTTTAGTTGTATATGTTTCTATAAATTAATGACTCAACAAAACCTAGGGCTTGCATTATCAGATTGGGTCACTCAACTACACAGCGTTATGTAATAACAAGGAAATATGACAAAAGCAAACAAAAATTCATACATATTAAACGTAACCGTATTATTTAATGATCCATTTATATGTAATATTGTGAATATTTTCATATTGTTGTCAAGGATAAGTTGACGATTTTTTTCAACCTAAAGAAAACTTTGACACACTTTGTGTCCCTTTCTCCTTCGGCCGACAATAATAAATAGCATTATCATATTTACATTCATAAGATAGGTCAACTCTTTGTAGTAAGTCCTTTTGTTATAAAATCGTTTATTTTAGATTAAATACAGGGTGTTTCACTTTATTGTTGCATAACTTTAAGATTCGGTAGAACTTTTAAAATTAATGCATAAAGTCTATATAAACATGGGTCGAAAAATGCGAGGCTTCCGAAATACAGGGTGTTTAAATTTACTTTCTAAAATAGTTTTTTTTAAATATTTCGAACAATATTTGATGTATTACAGTGAAAATTGGTATACAAGGGTTTTTTGGTACGACAAAACGAACCACGGGCATAGTTTTACTGTAGCCGCTAGAGGGCGCTCTCTACTGTACCTGTAGTGTATTAGAATGACCAAAAATGTTTTCTTAGTGAAATTTTTTGCTTTTTGAATAAAAGAACTGATTCTTCGCACTTTTCAACATAAAAAAGCTCTCTTGTGAATTTTCGTTATAGTTAGCCGTTTTTGAGATATTTCGATTTTTAAGGTTCGATGCATTTTTAATTATTTATGATAAAATAACGTTAAAAAGTCAGTATCTCGATAATTTTTAGAAGTAGGCTGTGCCTGCAAATATTTTTGAAATTGCAAGCAGAATAAGGTTAAACGTCAATTAGTTGACAGTTAGTTTTGTTTTGTCTGTTGAAACCTGAAAAGTTTTTTTGCAATTGTGAATGCACGAAATTTAGTTTCCTTTACCTGTTTTTTTTTGTAAGTTTTATAAAAATGCCATTTTTATTCTCCAATCAAGAGTTAGCGGATATTCATTTTGTGTATGGCTTTGTAAATGGAAACGCAGCAGAAGCAGCCAGAGAATACGCACGAAGATTTCCAAACAGACGACATCCAACTCGCTCAGTATTTGGAAGAATGCATCGCCAAATAATTGAAAATGGTTTTGGAAATCTCCAAAGGGATCAAAACATAAATGTTCGTCAGCGCAGATTTATCCGTATGATTCTGCGTGAGTTTGATAGAGATCCGACCACAAGTGTTAGGAGAGTTTCTGGTGCCTTGGGAATTTCAGCAAGTCATGTTCACCGTGTTCTTAGAAATGACCATAGACGTCCTTACCATTTGCAACCTGTGCAAGGACTACAGCCAGGGGACGGAGAACGAAGAATCACATTTTGTCAGTGGATTCTTGATAGAACTGACAATAATAGGGAGTTTTTAAGTAACGTTTTATGGACCGATGAGTCATGCTTCACTAGACGTCGAGTGGTAAATTTTCATAATCAACATATTTGGTCGCATGAAAATCCGCATGCAGTTCGGGAAAGAAATTTTCAGCATGAATTTAGCGTGATCGTGTGGATTGGTATCTACCGTAATCGGGTATTTGGACCCTACCTTTTGCCTGCAAGGTTAAATGCTGCGACCTTCTTGGAATTTTTAAAGGCTGAACATGCAAATATGTGGGATGATGTTGTGTTAGATTTAAGAAGATTGGCCTGGTTCCAGCTTGATGGTTGTCCAGCTCATTATTCGAGAATAGTTAGAAACTGGCTGGACGAAAATTATCCAGAAAGATGGATCGGCCGTGGAGGACCAGTCGCCTGGTCTCCACGATCCCCTGACCTTAATTCATTAGATTTCTTTGTGTGGGGATTTCTAAAAGAAAAAGTGTACCAGACACCCGTAACCACAAGAGATATGCTAATAGACAGAATCAGGAATGCATGTGATGAAATAAGGCCTTATTTGAATACTGCTATACCACGTTCGATCATTCGTAAATGTGAATTGTGTATTGAACAATTGGGTTTACATTTCGAGCAACTACTTTAGATTTTGTATGTTTGTCCTAACTATCCAATAGCATTTTAGTTGTAGATAATTAATTTAATTTGTTAAAAATAATATTGGAAAATTAAACAAATTAATATTCTGTTTTTTTTTGTGTTTATTTGGAGTTAGGAATTATTGCTGTGTTTAAAAACACAATCTAAACGATCATCTTAATTACTTGTAATGCCCTAATCGAAAATGTAAAAAAAAATATTATTTTCCCATAAATAATTAAAAATGCATCGAACCTTAAAAATCGAAATATCTCAAACACGGCTAACTATAACGAAAACTCACAGGAGAGCTTTTTTATACAGAAACGTGCGAAGAATCAGTTTTTTAATTCAAACAGTAAAAAATTGCACTAAGAAAAATTTTCGGTCATTTTAATACACTACAGGTACAGAAGTGAGCGCCGTCTACCGGCTACAGTAAAACTATGCCCATGGTTCGTTTTGTCGTACCAAAAAACCCTTGTATACCAATTTTCACTGTTATACATCAAATATTGTTCGAAATATTTATTTAAAAAAAACTATTTTAAAAAGTAAATTCAAACACCCTGTATTTCGGAAGCCACGCATTTTTCGACCCATGTTTATATAGACTTTATGCATTAATTTTAAAAGTTCTATCGAATCTTAAAGTTATGCAACAATAAGCTGAAACACCCTGTATACGCTGAATTAGCACTGTTAAATATAATACCAGTTTAACGAGATATTTGATCCATAAGTTATCTGCTTATCCCCTGATTTGCCAAATCACACAAATCAGTATTCGGACTGCTAAACTCATTGATTAGATAGCCTCATCTGATAACGCTATGTCACATCTGTGCAATACTACTTGTAACACACAGTACATGTATGGTTGTTTTCCTGGAGGATGTTCTATTTCCAGGAAACTAGCGTGCACTTACGATATACCATTTTATGATATTATTACACAGAGATAAAAATGAATTGCGATAGCATCGTTAGCCTATAATGCGTGAGCAGCCAAAACGTCCCATTATCTGATGGAATTAAGCTAAGCAATGTCGGCTGTGCTTGTCCAACATCGCCAATTGAACGTATACCTGCTGTTTCCACCAGCTCAGCTAATTGGTGGTTATCATTTTAATGCCGATGAAAAGCCTAAGTCTCAGGCAACCAGTAAAATCGAGGAAAAGCCAGAATGCCAGCAGGAGTTAAGTAAATCCTAAGACCAGGGGCTTGCGGTTCTAGGCATAGAGGGGGTATCTGCAATTTTCGGGCATATTTGTTTTTTGGCTCCTAGTGAATTAGTGGGATTTTATATGCTCGATGTTTGAATTTTTTATCAAAAAAGTAGTTTTCTCAAAATTCTATTTAATTGCAAAACAACAACAGGAGTAGCCGATGTAGATACAACTGTTTCGCCTAGTAACGTTTAACATAAGTTATTATTTTCAATAGGCTAGTTGACACTTAGAAGCTATTGAATAGTTAATATGTTATCTATTAAACCAAAAAAATGAATACCTTATTTTTCAGACCTAAAAGAGCGTAACGTTTTATTTATTATTTAAAAGTATAGTTTTCCTGGACAGGCGGAAACGCTGTTTGCAATGTTTGGCCCATATTAATATGTTCTGTCATGCCATTTGAGGAGCAACTTTTCAAAATGCATTATGTCCATAAATACTTTTTTTCAGTAGCAGCAAGAAATGAATATTATTTGTTCCTGTTCGTTTTAAACCTGCATAGTAAGGTATTTTCATAGATTCAGGCCATACAATAATATAATAATCCATCTCAATGAAATCATAACTATTATTAATTGCAGAAAAAGGTCAATAAATAGTTGAACAACCTGCGTTTTGATCCACAACTGTGTACGAGCCCCTTCCCACTTCAGTTGGCCCACTTCAAGATTTGTACCAAAATATGCCTTTATAAACTAAACATGACGAAACTATTTACTTCTAAAACAATT